TCTGCCAGGCAACACGGCAGAGCTTCTGTAGACCCATTTTCACTTTTCAAGGTTCCACATCCGAAGGAATGAGATGCGGGAGCTCTTATCTCCCGAGAACTGTTTAAGAAACAGCCAACTCTCTATGCATGCCTATATACATACATGCATATAAAAACACATATATATTACCTTGTAGAAGCAGAGCCACACAATATCCACCAAAAGATTTTATATATCATTTCAGTGTTACTTTGAGGTGCAAAGTGACTTTCATTTTATACACATATAATGTTCGTAAATATAGATTTAGTTACATTACAGGCATTCAGACTGAGTGTGATTCCTATTACTCATTCATTGCATGGTGTGAGATAGATGCTTTGTTGGGATTTAATTGTTGTTTTTCTAAAAAAAAATAAAATAAATGCAGGACTCGTATAAAATCCATCACATTATGCTGTAATAACACAAAGAGTTTCCGTGCATGTTTCTCACAGAATTTTTTCCCCATTCTAAACGTGCTGTTGCTAAGAGACCAGCGGTCTTTCACATTTTCCCTGACACACTCCAACAGAGTGGCAGGCCCAGTGTTTGCAGTGTGGCCATCTCATTAAGGTGAAGAACAACAACACGGAGTACAACGCACGGCACAATTCACAAAACCATGGCATATGGAAAGAACGTCCAGTAATGCACGAAATATTACTGCCTTCACGCTGTCTAGCCTGTTAAAATTCAGCTGAGAGTTCTCTCTCTCTCTCTATCTCTCTCTCTCTCTTTACTTGGCTGATTTCTGGTCATTCCCAGTGTCTCCTGCTTCATCTTAATCTTGTGTACTGCTGTCTTAGAAATTTTGAACCGGAAAGCAACCTGCTGCTCAGCATAGCCTACTGTAAGCAGAACCATGATTAAACCAGGATTTAAAAATGCAGATTTTTAAAAAAATATTGAGTGTATATACATACACACACACACACACACACACACATACAAAACACAGATAGCACTGTTGGATGTCCCCACTTTTAGAATCATCCTGCAGTGACACGGAGAGCAGCACTAGTGTGTTACTGACACCCAGCATTTACTCTGGACATAGGGGAAGGTTTCAATTATTTACACACAGTTCATTGTATCAGCAACAAGAATATCAGATTCATGAGCATCAAGAGGGGCTGGACCAATAGGTAGGGTATGCACTGAAGTGCAGAAAGGGAGCTTTGTGAGCAGAGTGCTGTTTTTCTTCTTTTAAACATTGATACTACTTTTCAGTATCAAGGCAGGTTGTCCACATTGCATATGGAATAAGACAGCTGAGGGTGACAAAGGGAATCTTAAAACCAAATAATCTAGTTATGGAAGGAATCCAGAGATAAGGCATCAACCACGTGCCAAAGGGTCGCTTCTGAATAATTTAACTCAAGGTAAATCTAGGTTCTTAGTGGAAAAAATAAATGTTAAAGACATAAAAAACACACAAGCTACACCCCACCAACAAATAGTAGTTTATTTTTTCATCAACCCGCAAGGTGACACGTCGAGATGAAGAATTGTGAATGTTCTGGCCATTGATTGAGGGTGTTGAGCTTGTTGGATCACCAGTCCTCTACTGGATTCTCTAGTTTCACCCACCAGAGCCACACTGCTAAAATTCTGTCCTCCTCTCTACAAATGACTATTAGTCTTTGATTCCCTGACCAAAGACAAATCTGTTGAGGCTGGGAGCTCTAATCCTGAGTCCTTGGCTGTCAATACAAAAAGTGTAACAGAATCAATGTATCATTGAATATAAGTAACCGCTAATCATACAAATTCACTGATTAGTTGTAACACAACTCAATTTTTTATATAGTTTTACTTTATTTATGCTAAGTAGTATGGTAAATGTAGCATATTTGAAATATGTGATTAACAGAGGTTACAGAACGGTGGGGACCCGGGGAGCTGGTCAGTCACCTGCTGGTATCGAGACCCCGAGGAGACCAGGTCAGTCACCTGCTGGTATCGAGACCCTGAGGAGACCAGGTCAGTCACCTGCTGGTATCGAGATCCCGAGGAGACCAGGTCAGTCACCTGCTGGTATCGAGACCCTGAGGAGACCAGGTCTGTCACCTGCTGGTATCGAGACCCCGAGGAGACCAGGTCTGTCAGCTTCTGGTACCGAGATCCCGAAGGGAACAGGGGACCTGGACTGTGAGCTGAAAGTACTGAGACTCCAAGGGGACCAGGGGGCATGACATTGCACTACATAAACAGTGGATAGAATCAGGAGCTACAGTATACCATGCAAACAACTGACTATGGAGTGCAACATCAGTATTTGGGGAGTGGAAATGAAATATGGACAATACTTTGACGAGCTAGGAATCTTGCGGGTGATCCACATTCTTTTTATTTAAATGTCACAGCAAAAACTTTCTAAATAAAGGACTTTATTCCAATTTAAATTTGCCATAATCACAAAGTTCTTCTTTTTGTTATCTCATGAGTAGTGCCACAAAGTATCAGTTCTCTTTTTCATACATCTCAGTTACAAAAGCCAGCAGAGATTCTTTTATATCTTCCACTTAAAAAACCACTGAAAACATGGTTTCACCTAGTCCACACTAAATGTATATTTAATATATTATATATTTATATTATACAGACGCTCCTCTACTTACGAATGAGATACGTTCCGAACGGCCAGCATATCTGTGAGCTGCTGCTACTGAAACACCAAGGGGAGCAGAGGAGCTGGTCTGTGAGCTGCTGGTACTGAGATACTGAGGGGAGCAGGTCTGTGAGCTGCTGGTACTGAGATACTGAGGGGAGCAGGTCTGTGAGCTGCTGGNGGTCTGTGAGCTGCTGGTACTGAGATACTGAGGGGAGCAGGTCTGTGAGCTGCTGGTACTGAGATACTGAGGGGAGCAGGTCTGTGAGCTGCTGGTACCAGGTTACCGAGGGGAGCAGATTACTACTGGCTGCCAGTAAGCCCTGGCTTGTAAAGGGCCCAGTGAGCCAGTGGAATGTGAATAAGGGAGTCATAGACTCTGTGCATAACACCTCCAGGAAAGAAGAGTGTGGCATACAGATGGCTGAGACAGTTTGGGGCAACTAAAGAAAAACAGGGTGACTATTCTTTAAAATAATGATCTACCAGCGCTATTATTTCTTGAGTCTCTCACTCTAAAATGCACGTGACCATCCTCAGTTGCTGCTCCCTGCCTCGTTTCCCTGCCTCGTTTCGCTGCTGGTCATTTCAAACCTGCTTCAAGCTTGTGCAGATCCTCTGCCTCTTTCAGTTATTATGCTGCTCTTGTTGTCACAGGGCTATTTGTTGGGCTCTCTGTGCATGTATGTGACCAAACCATTTACGAACAAAATGCTCCCTTTTCTCTGCTTTCTGTGAGGCCTCCTGCTTTGGGCCATCTGCTCATGTGTCATTAGAACATGAACTAGACTGAGACAGTTGGCCCATAATACTGTCTAGGGACTGGACTCATGTTTTCTGATGCACTGACTCAGTCCTCTCACTGGTCCTTTGTCACCTGACCATGATCACTCCCACCCATATTGTCATCTTCTATCATTAAAACATATTCTACATAAGCTTTTCAATTGGTTTTGTCTATTGTATTTTTATTAAGTTTATTATTAAGTCATTTATTATTTCAGGAGTGATCACAGCCTTTGGTGGATTAATGAATTTTGGGAGAAATAAAAATGAACTTTGTTGTGTTGATTTGATAATCTCTGGACAATAGCTGTAAAACATAGTGCAAGTGCTTTGTGACAGCAGCTCATTTTACAGTACATGGCGTGTGGACACATGAAAGCACGAGCAGACCTGTCAGGAGCCCAATTTGAATGCTGGACTGCTAGCAAAAGCATATCAATCTGCTATACTGAGCATATCAATCTCAAATTTAGGGGTGCCCTCAGAGAGTGAAGTGATGTCAATGTTTGGAACATGATGTTGCATTACATAACAATGGTGGATAGAATCAGGAGCTACAGTATACCATGTAAAAACTGACTATATAGTTCAACATTGGTATTTGGGGAGTGGAAATGAAATACTGAGAGAAATTTGACCAGCTAGGAATCTTGTGGGTGATCCACATTTTTCTTATTTAAATGTCACGGCAAAAATTTTATTACAAAACGGACTTTATTTCAGTTTAAACCACATAAAGAAAGGCATCGGCTTTTTGAATGAGCCTTTCCCTGCCTTTTGTGGTAGAGCTGCCCCTTTACTACACAAGCCTGCATTTTCTCAAGAAGTGAGATCTGGCTGTACGACATTCACAGGAGTCTGTGCTGCAGGCATACTAGCTGGACATAAGACAGCCAATCCAATGTTGCATTTAGCCTAGGCTACGCCATGCCAACGGCTGGTGTTTCCTTCTTTGAAACAGATTAAACAGGATACTTCAAGGCACCACTAATGATTCACAACTGATTTTGGCACTAAAATGCATGCAATATTATCCAGTCACCACTTTTTAGATTGGCATAAGCAACTACCAGTGCCACCAACTGGTCAGAGGGTGAATTTACATTAGGATTTCCGAGTTCTCTTAGGAGGCTGTCTCTGAGAAGACAGGCAATGAAGTCCAGGGGAACTGAGGGAGAAAGAGCACTGCTAGCTGTTCACCATCCAGCATGTTTGCCTGCTGATGAGACAATGTCATGCTGGACCAGGGGGAACACTGTGTACCTGAGCAATCAGCTTCTCCCTTGTCAATGCAACATCCACACGGAGGAACTTATCTGACAGGTATCAAGCTAATAACCCAAATACCTGTAGTTTCTTCAACCAGGAAATTTTCTCCTGAGCAAAAGCTTGTTACTGGATGCAATCATGAATATATTTTCAGCAATTTAAGTTACGGCATGAAAATACATAAATGGTTGTATGAACCGAAAGGTCCCATTAGTTCTTATTTGTACATTGTTTGTCTGTCTGTTCATCTGCTTTGCATTGAAAGGGTTTGCGGGATAATCTATACCAAAGAGTGGAATTTAGTCTTGAATGAGTTTGTATTTTGATGATTTTTATTTCCATGTCAATTATAAAAGAGTAAAATAAGAAAGTGTCTCTAATGGGCAGCAAATGCTTCACCATTTCAATAATATCATTTCACGCAGAATTTCAAGATTTGTCAAAACGATACTCCGGGTAACTCCCCACACCCACAGGAATAAAGATTTGTGTCATGCATTAAATCGTGTAAAACATCATGTAAAAATACAATATTCTATATAACTTACAATACTTTAATTAGCCAATAAAGGTCCACAAAATTATCATACACAGCATGGAGTTTAATCCAGTACACAGTTAGTAAGGATATAGTTCCATACATGTTATATCTTGCTTTTAATTTGTACAATGATAACTAATGATAAATCGTTTCAACTCATGATGAAAAGTAAACAAAACTTTAAAAACTTTAGCTAAGAAAAAAGGACACAAAAAGAGATTAAGTACACATTCAAAAAAGAAAAAAAAAAGGAAAGTAGCCTACTGGGCCAACATTTGAAGGGTGCCCCTTCCAAGACACCTATACCCTTCACTGCACATTCTTGGCATGCTATTTCTCAGATCAATACACTGCGAGTGAAGTGTAATGTCAATCACAAGCTCTCAGGGTGACACCATAGAATCACCCCAAGAAACACATGGAAATCTCTGCATTAGGTTAAACAGAAACATTAACACTGGGATAATAAATGCCAACGTGGCTCATTGCTTTGTTAAAGACTGATTAAATGAGTCTACCTGAACCAGCGAGTATTCCACGGGGGGAAAAAAAAAAACAACGTTTGAAGCTTTGAGCTGCCAGATGAGCCAATTAGAAATGTGGAAGGGTATTCCTCAGAGTAATGTGGAAGGGTACTCCTCAGAGTAATGTGGAAGGGCACTCCTCAGAGAAATGTGGAAGTGTACTCTCAGCTCTGGAAAGTGCAGCAGGTTAAACCCCAAGCCCCAAACCCACACATCCTCCACATCAATACCGCAAAACCAGCACAAAACATACAAGCTACTTCCTCAAAGTCCCTTAAGTAGTGGCCCTTATTTAAAAACAAGCCTTAATTATTACACCACTTATGAAAAGGTGCGACTTCCCCCAAGTTCAGGCAAAATGCACTGGAATCATAGTAAACTGGACTGGTGTTGCCATCATTCTGTCAGGCCATTCAAGTGGCAGGTCATCTGGACCAGATCACCTCGACATAGTTTGCAGGGTACAGTCCAACTTCCCCACTGTCCAGTTGCCCTTTGCACCAACCCTGCTCGTCCACTTCACTTAGCTTCCTTAGTTCCTCACCTAAGAGGACAAGATCGAGATTAAAATCAAAATCCTGCAAAGATTATAGATTGCTCTATTTCAAGATTAGATTAGTTGTCTCAAGTATTCTGGTTACATAGCATACAAGTTAAACAGTCACATTAACATTAAAGTATTGATTATTTCCCCAGGGAAGGGTTATTACAAACACTATAGATGGTACATGCCCACTAAGAACAAACCGGCTTTGAAGCTCAGCTCATCCTCCTCTTGGCCCACATAGTCATAGAGGGCTTTCACGCGCTCTCCCACCGGCTCCACGTCACTGTCCCTCCCATTAGCCGTACTGCAGTTCCCCGAGATGTCTCCATCAGACCAGGCGTTCCCACTGCCACAGACAGGGGACAGAGAGGCCACCGCCATGACGCATCAGGCAAAACAAAGTTTAAAAAACTTAGCAGCACACAAGAATTTTTAGTAACACACATGAAAAATTGCATAACTCACTATTGAATTTCAGTAACATACCCTGAACATACATGTAACATACATGGCCCTGAGGTCCAAGAAAGGTGCTGACACTTTTCCCATTAATAAAGTTTTATTAAATTCACAAGTGAGCTAATAATTCAGTTTTATGAATTTATTCAGAATAGGCCAATAATCAGCCAGTTAATTTGAAGACAAAAATACACACAAAGGGAGTTTGCGCTGATCTTGGGGTTCCCAGGTTATTGCGGGGGGGGGGGCAAACAGACAAGATCTTCCCAGGGGGTCCCTCTTGCTATGCAAAATCTACTGTAAATGTAGACCAGTGCTGCCCCCTGTCAAAATGGGGTTGAGAGTCTCCGGTGCTGTTATTTTAAAGATCATGGACTGAAAAGTTTGGGAAGCCATGCTTTGCTTAATACATGCTCACAAATATAATGTACAAAAAAATGCAGGCATGTACACACACAGACACCCAGACAGGCAGAGACACAAACACTCACTATCTTTCACTGTACACTTACACGCTGTTACATGCTGCAAAAGACGCTGCTAGCATAACCATCTGAGACTATGTCATCTCCCCATTCCTGCATAGTATCAATATTTCTCTTGAAATAATGAGATAGGACTGGGCAATAACAATATTTAATTGGTAATTGACGATAATCAGACAAGTAACCCTGTGTCGATTTCTGACAGTGACTAACGGATTATTGCTTTTGTTGGAAAAATAGGCTTAGACTACAAAGCAAAACAACGAAAGTATTTATGATTTACCTTTTGGTTAAGCATTCCAGCCTACGTTTCTGATGCAGATTATAAAAAAAGGCTATTATACGCAGCATTTCACAACTATTGTCTGTTTGCAGTAATTATGTGTCCTCTAGTCTTGTAAGTTGGAAAGTTAGATGTTATACACTGTCACATCACCAACTTCTGTCTTCCAGTCAGCAGCTAGGATATCAGCCGTTTAAGTGCAACTTCTCAGTGGGAATTTCAGGCTTCCCAACTTACGTGAATGGTCGAACAAGAAAATTACCATTGCTAATCGCCTTGCAACAGGGGTGTCAAGCTCAGTCATTGAAAGAGCTATATTAAAAACCACCAACGAATTTGAAGCCCAAAAAAGATGTCATTATTTAGTTAACAGTATGACCCAAAATATATCATTGAAATATTTACTACTGTAAATAATATTTACAAATGTGAAATTTGGAGTAAACATTATTCCTGAAAATTCTCTTTAAAGAAAAAAATTAACAATATATACAACTTAAACCAAATGCATCCACTGGGCTGATGAGCACTTATTCATATTCAAACAGAATTACCTACATTAATGTACAGCTACGACCATTGATCTAAAGCGAATATTTACCTTGGATACTCCTGTGGTTGTGTCTGTTTTATGGGGTGGGGGGGGGAGAAGGTTGGATGATTTATCCTGATATTTTTTTAATTAAAATATTATATATATTTTTAGATACCCAGCCCTAATGAGTAATTGATTTAATGTTTTGTTAGCTACTATCATTAGGTTGTTACTGATAGACTTCAGTCATTTAAGCGTTCAGGGAAACATGTAGTGTGTTTGTCACTGTGGTAGTTATTTTGTTAACCATAAGAAACAGTTATTTACTTTGTTTTGAATGGTCAGTATTGGGTTGTTTAGCAGTGTGATGCATGCTAGGAATATTAGTTTTAATCTACCTAACAATTTCTTGTCAATTCAGCGTAGCTTTCCAAAAAGAACTACAAGGGTGTAATTTCATTGCAAAGTCCAATTTACACACATGTGAGAGAATATTTTTTGTAATTTGTACACACTGATTTTTTTGTTGCGTTGTGATTCAAATGTAACATTGATCCATCAACAAAGATACATAAAGATAACTCATCAATACCTCCAAATGATGAATATTCCATGCCTACAAACTCCACATAAACAATACACATGCACAAAGACTTAATTTTCAACAAATCAAAAATTTTGTAAAGGCATAAGAGACAAAATAATGTGAATAAAAACAAAAATATCATCTGGATTAGCTGAGAAAATACAAAAGATAATTAAATACTGACATCTACTGGAAGACCCCTAAGAAATCTAACCAGGCACCCATTAAATAGATTGATTCATCAGCATACTTTGCCCTGCCTTTAATATTTGATGTGTCCACCTGTACCTAATGCACTGCACTAAAGTCTCCCACTTACTGGGCACAGGAAGTAATGCACCCGTCTCTCCTGTTGACACCATGGTCTCTGCTCAGATCTTAACCTCTCCAAAACTGAGCTTCTTGTCTTCCCTGCCAGCCTTCCATAAATGATCCTATGTTGCAATTGCAGTTACATTCCTAGTTTATTAAAAGTTATATGTGTAGTTGTGTGGCTGTTGGGTCGCTCCTGCTCCAAAACTGCTTACACCTGTACCTGGGCATTCATTCTAAGCTCAAGATAGCTGCACTTATGTCTAGTTGACTCCTTTATAGCATGAATGTTTACAATCTAGTATTTGCCTCGCTTGTACTTTGCTCTGGACAGAAGTGTCACTGGAGACACTGCACTGCACTGCACTAAGGTTTCCAGCTCAATGGTCGCAGGAGGGAATGCATGTACTACCTGGACACCGGCTCCACAGCTGATACGACGTTAGTCAGAGTAACCACGTTCTCTGCTTGGCTGGTCCTCTCTTTCCGGCTGATGGAGAAGCTGGTGACAGGGGACCACTCCTGAAAAGAGACACGATCATGTGACCACAACAGCAATCAGCAACTGGATCCTCCGGTTTCCCTCCAGTCCAAAAACATGCAGTTAAGTGAAATGGAGTGTGTGGGCACAGCCTGCAGTGGACTGATGCCTTGTTCCGGGCAGGTTCCTGCCCAGTGCCCATCACTCCAGGATATACAAATCAATGTACCCGAGTACCTGATTAATTCTCAAATTAAAAGGTAGATTACTCAATTATTTCTTCCCCCTGGCATAAATAACCTTTAACAATCCATCCATCCATCCATCCATTCATCCATGGCAATGAGCAAACACCTCAAATTGCGGCCAATTCATGGCCATGCCTGGCCCATACGTGTTCCTCCACCATCTCAGGTCCTCTGCATCGCTGGTTGCAGCTAGTGTCTTGCCCAGGTCTTGAAACAGTGCCTTGAATCTGTAAACGGACTTATCCCCAATTAACTAGCACAATACAGCTGAATTGCATCCATTTCATTGTTATTAACAAGTAAAAGAGCCATTAATAATTGTGAAAAATTAAAAAATTCCTCAGTTATGATTGAATGCAATATCATTTTCTTTACACAAACATCACACATTACTCACATTAATGACCAAACTACGCCCTGCACACACTGACATGTCCACTGCACAGGGCGGATCCACTGCACAGGGCAGACTGCTGGCTGTACCTGTCGCTGCTGGAGAGGTCCAGGTGCTTGTGGGTGCTGAGCAGGACCTCCTTGAAAAAAAGCAGCCTCTTCTTCTCGGCCTCCTGGGTGATCTCGAACACCTGCTCCATGTCCTCCATGTATCGCGGGTTACAGCGGTACAGGTCTTCCAATGCTCTCTCGTAGTGCTGCTTGGCCTGTGATGCAAAGGCAGAGGGGGTGTATCTGTCTTAAGAACAGGCCAGAGCATCCACACAAATCAATCTTTCCCAGGCTTGATGAAACACTGTACAGATTAGCGTTGTTGACTAACCGGAAGGCCAAAACACAGCTATTTCCTTCCGATTAAGATGTGCTTTGTGAATGTTGAACTACACTGTAAGGATTTCCCACACACCCTCGCTACCCACAACATTTCAACAAAACATGTTCTTTCATTTATGAAAAGCTACAGATTGCTAGCTTGCAGTGATGCCAATTATTTGGCAATAACATTAGCTTTTTTCCAAAGGGTTGAAATAATTGTGAGGAAGATGTTCTTAAGGAAATCTACTAAATTTCCTGAACAATGACTGTCACACCTTAACAAAAATCAACAGCATAAATGTGCAACAGTTAATGAAATTTTCTGAAAGACAACAATATTGTCTAACACAATATGTGGTTAGATGTTATGGTAATTACACATATTACTGTGCAAAATTTCTAATACTGTAATTACATTAAACATGAACCAGTTTCTGGAACATCTGCCCAGATAAAATACTGTACTACATATTCTACACATGTAGAACTCACATAGGTTGAACTGGTTTGTCCCCCATCAGAAAGCATTGAAAAACGTAATTATGGAATCAGTAATAATTCCTCATTACAATCCATGTTTCCAGTTTTTGTCACACCAGGCTTAGTGACCTGCTACAGTGGTACGTCTAATCCCATCAGTTTTGTCATAACCCCCTAGCAGGATTGGATTGCTGCGCATTTCAGGACACCCATGGCAGCAACCTGCAACAATACCCCAAAAAAACCTGCAACAATACCACAAAAAACAATACCACAAAAAAAAACCTGCAACAATACCACAAAAAAAAACCTGCAACAATACCACAAAAAACAATACCACAAAAAAAAACTTGCAACAATACCACAAAAAAAAACCTGCAACAATACCACAAAAAAACCTGCAACAATACCACAAAAAAAAACCTGCAACAATACCATAAAAAAAAACCTGCAACAATACCACAAAAAAAACCTGCAACAATACCACAAAAAAACCTGCAACAATACCACAAAAAAGGGCAATGAAAGCATGTGCTTTTACTTTTGTTATCCATGTAAAATTACCAAATGAAGCAATGCTCCCTCAACATAAACAATAAAACTATGTATTTCACCAGTTTGGGATTGAAGAAAGGGTTAATTAAAGACTTCACATCGGGCAGTATAATGACTGGACTAGTGATTTGCTCACTGTAAGTATTAATCATGCAGTGCTTCTACCGCGTGCAGCTGTTTGCACAGAAGGCCACTGCGATGACCTCAGGGAGAGGTCCCTGTTGGCTGTGCTGTTTGTGCACGTCTGCACTGACCCCCATAACCAATTGCCCAGCATTCCAGCTCTGCAGCTGCTGCAAGATGTCCCACGGGCATCCAGCCCACTGTAGCGGACATTCCAATCCAGCAGGCCCATCAAAAACATGCTACTGTCACTATGAACGAGTCACGGTGCACCCAGAATGCATGAAAAAATGTGCACGAGCCCCAGAAATGCGGGCACAAGGGACTCATAACACTGTCCAAAAGAAAAAAAACGACATTTGCAGACCACTTGAAGTAATATATAGCCATTTAACATAGAAAGCTGCTACCTATAGGATTAGCCAAGTGCTCACAGTAAATAATAAAGAAACATCATAATGACTTCCACTGGGTGCGCAATGCCACACATTCATATTGGTACCTGTCATAGCGGGCACCCGGCCCGTGCCTCTCAGGCCCAGTCATGTTTAGGAGTGCTTGGGCATGTGTCGATGCATGCCCCTCCACTCTTGGAATAGCAGAGGCTCTGTGCACTTAAGGCAACACCCTGTTCTGCCAAGACTTTCAGAAATGCTGCATTTTCCTAAAAGCAGGGATCTGGGGATGTCTTACCTTTTGGGGAACACCTGAATTATCATGGCACCTTAGTCTAATAGACACTCCATGCTTAACTCCATCTTATACATTGTAATATCTCACTCACGCATCATACTCTTGCCTTGATGACCTTTTTCTAGTATTTAATCAATGCAGTATAACTCTTATTGTTGCATTCTAATAATTCTTTATCTCCCCCCCACTTTCCCTTGTTCCAGCTTTCCATCCCACCTTAATAGTTCCCAGAAATGCTGACACTTCTTTATTCCCATGTCTAGTTTCCCTTTTTCTATCTTTCCACCACATCCTTCCAACTTTCCATCCCTTCACTGTGGCCAGCAGAATCTCTCTCCTGCTTCTGAATCCATTGGTTGTCAGACATTGTGCTCACACAAGTCTGGCTACTTTCCTCCGACCTTCTCAGCCTGCTGGTTGCACTTCTCCACACGCTCCTGAAGCTTCTGGACCTCCTCCTGGCACTTTGTGGGATCAGCCTTTGCATGATTCTCTCGGGTCACGGCAGTCCGCTCCTCCTTCCGTGCCTGGTGGTAGCTCTTCTTGGACGACTCCACCTGGTAAACAGGAGATGGGCTCTCAGGGGTTGGCTGTCTGCCAGCTCCTACAGTACCTACCATCTGTCTGAGAAAGGGACCTTGCCAAATGATTGCGTGCATGCTTAGAATGTATCACACTGAATAAAACATACCGGGCACATGATATATTTATTGCATACCCCTGACCTGATGTATAAAGAGTGTGCATACAGGTGCAATCAAAGTGTCTGAAAATACAGCATTTAATTTTTTTTTGTCCTCTGGAAATACCTTCTGACTGTATGCACACACACACACACACACACACACACACACACACACACACAGGTTTGTAAGAAATTTACAAACGAGAGGGGGTCATTCGGCCCATCAAGCTCGTCTGGGGAGAACTTAACTAATAGCTCAGAGTTGTTAAAATCTTATCTAGCTCTGATTTAAAGGAACCCATGGTTTTAGCTTCCATTACACTAGCAGGAAGACTATTCCATACTCTAACTACACGCTGTGTAAAGAAGTGCTTCCTCAAATTTGTTTTAAAATGTTCTCCCGCCAATTTCCACTTATGGCCACAAGTTCTAGTATTTAAACTAATATTGAAATAGCCATTTGGCTGAACAGCATCCAGACCTGTTAGAATCTTATAGACCTGAATCATATCCCCCCTTAGTCTCCTTTGCTCAAGGCTAAACAGATTCAGCTGAGCTAACCTCTCCTCATAAGACATTCCTCTAAGACCAGGAATCACTCTCGTAGCCCTCCATCGCACTTTTTCTAAGGCAGCAATGTCCTTCTTAAGGTATGGTGACCAAACCTGCACACAATATTCTAGGTGGGGTCTTACCAAGGAATTATATAAATGTAACATCACCTCCCTTGACTTAAACTCCACACACCTAGAGATATAACCCAACATTCTATTGGCCTTTTTTATTGCTTCCCCACATTGGCGAGAGTGGGACATGGAAGCATCAACATACACACCGAGGTCTTTCTCATAATCAGCTACCTTTATTTCAGTGGAACCCATAAAATATCTGTACTTTATATTTCTGCTCCCTGCATGGATTACCTTACATTTATCTGTGTTAAATTTCATCTGCCAAGTATCAGCCCAGTCGCTAATTAAATCTAGATCCCATTGTATCCTCTCTGCTGCTAGATCAGTATCTGCTACACCACCCACCTTGGTGTCGTCTGCAAATTTAACCAGTTTACTGTATGTATTGGTGTCAATATCGTTAATGTAAATTAGGAACAATAGTGGTCCTAAAATTGAACCCTGCGGTACCCCACTATGACATTGTGCCTCTAATAACTACTCGCTGCTTCCTGTCAGTTAACCAGTTTTCGATCCAAGCTGCCACTGGTGGGGGACAACATCAAAGGCCTTCTGGAAATCTAAGAAGATCACATCGTAGGCCTTTTTGTGATCAATTTCACTTGTAGCTTCCTCAAAGAACTCAAGTAGATTCATTAAACAGGATCTACCTCTCCTAAATCCATGTTGGCTATCCCTCAGAATGTTATTTGCATCTAGGTAATCTACCATTTTCACTTGGATTATAGCTTCCATTATTTTTCCAGTAATGCTAGTTAAGCTGATTGGCCTATAGTTTGTAAAAAATGGTCCCCACAACATCAAATAAACAGGTTTTTATTACATTATGGGGGACATTTGGTCCCCACAATCTAATATAAACCTAATCCACACAGAGCATAGGGAATTCTTTATAGGAATGATACTTTCATTAACTTTGAATCCCTGCCCAGCTGCTAGCCTTATACATACTGACTCACAGCTGAATGTCTGGGCATATGGGGGCGGGGTGGTGGGCTCAATGGCTTGTATGAACACATACATTCAGTACCTAATGTTCTGGGTTAGATGAGACTTTAGCGTAAATCACATATATCTCACACAGAAATGTAGATGGTAAATTGTGGGTGCAAGCCCAGGCTCTGTTTTCCCATACCCCCGGACACTCACATTCTTCATCCTGCGAATCCACGGCTTCTGCGCCTTACGGAAGCCATCCTCAGCCTCCTTGGTCTCCTTGAAGGTGCCAATAATCTGCTTGTGGAAGGCATCCTTCTGCCAGTTCTTTACCTTCTCGCTTTCATCCACGAACAGGCTATCCCTGAGGTCCATATGGATCTCACTGAGCTGGTCACCAGCATCCATGAAGGCATGCCAAGCCCTCTTCAGCGTGCCGTACTCTGTGCCTTGAAGAAATAAGCCCACAGGGACCATCTCAAACCTCTCCTTGATCTCATAGTATATCCCAACCATGAATATCCCTCACAAGTCAGGCTGAAATATGTAAAGTTTGGGCTTTAAAATCAAAATAATTTATTGGCACATCTATAGAACAAGTGAACGATTGAGTTAAAGCAGGGGTCTCCAACTCCGGTCCTGGAGAGTTACCATCCAGTAGGTTTTCTGGACTGGACTGGACTGGACTGGAGTCACACCTGTTCTCAGGTAAATACCAGGAACAGGTGTGGCTCATCAAAAGCCAAGTGGGACAGAAAACCTACTGGATAGTAGCTCTCCAGGACCGGAGTTGGAGACCCCTGAGTTGAAGTCTTAGGTCATGAGTTCCTATCAGCAGTGCAGCACATTAAATAAATACAAACCTTTATTTTAGGTTACTGGGCAACTGCCCAACAGATCACCCACTGTATAAATTTGCATGCTCATTACAAGACATCTGTAAGCAATGTCAAAGTGGTTTGTGAAGTAATCCCTTTAAAGACATGCTTTTTCTTGACCCTAAAGGACACTGTATTAATGTTGCAGTGCCATCTCACCGCTCAGTGCTGGATTTGCCACACAAGCAAGATGACTATTCGTAAAATACTTGAGTGATTTACTAGGTAGTTAAGCATCCAATGGTAACCCTCATGAGGTCACAATTGGAGTTTAAATGTGTCTAATCTGGCGTGCAGAAGTGAATTAACCAAGGAGAGCTAGCTTACTTTCCTGAGGTATGCTATTAGTAATGTATATTACTTTCAACTGAGAACCAACATATGTTTCTGTTGTCCCCAAGTCGTGTGCAGGCCACTACCTTTTTCCACCACCAGCCTCCATCTCTTAGCCCAGTCAGCCAGCTGCTGGCCATAACTCCTCTCAATCTTGGCTCGCTCCTGGAGACAGAGCACCAGCTCGCTGCTGAGTCGGTGACTATCGTCAATACGCTTCACTGTGCTCCTGTAGTTCCCTGCCTGAGCAGAGACAGATGCCAGTGACAGCAAACAGCCAGACGGAGACAATGAGATCCTCGTACCAGAGGCATTTCAGCATAACTAAGCAACTACACAAAAACAGAAACATGATTTGGAAACGAATGGGCAAAAAACATATTTCAAGATAGAAAAGGAACCATAAGGTACCCAAGCATCAATAATAGGTATTTGTTTATTGTTACAAAATGTTAGTTGTGTGATCTTTTAGATCCTTTACATATCCATTGATCTATAATGACACCGATGAACAAATTTTGACTTTCCTTTTGTCACACAAATTAAAATAGGTGAATCTTATTATTGTGCTGAATTCAAATATGTAATTGTAATTTCCCCATCAAGCAAAGATTTTGAGCGACACACAATTAAATGTTTCTCAATGCCCCAATGGCCCACGATTTTGTTCTCTTTCAGCTGCCTAACACTGATCTAAAAGGCAGAAGTGTATGATTTTCTGCTGTACCTGGTCAGCAAGCATACTGTAACTCCACTTGCCTTGTTATCATTTTTCCCTATCAGACATGTACTGATGTGTTACACCTTGTAAACTCTAGAAACACACTTATAGTATTTTGCTGCCTTCTGTAAAGTCTTAAAAATGTTCACAAAGAAATAAAATATTTTTTTCAAAATTAAAATGTTCATATACCCATACATTTGGAATAAAGAATCATATAACATCAATACAACCCAGGGCTCTTCAAATCTGGCCTTCAATTCCAAATCAAAGCCTTGTTTTCAGTTCTCCCAGGTAGTTAGTTTAATAATTTTTTATTCTGATTGGACACAGAGGCTTCACACCTGGCTCACAAGTAAAGGGAGGTTGGAAAATCAGCAATGCTTGGCCCTTGAGGACCATGATTTGAATAACCCTGATATAGCCTAAGAATTATGTCACTCAAACTATGGGTGAATTCTGAGTGCATTTTTGAAATCTGCATTAAAAAGCACATAAAAGACATCCCAATTTGCCAAAATCTCTGTTGACCAGTGTGTTTGGAAGGAATGGGCTGCACAATGGATGGGTAGCTTTGGATGTACAATTAGATTACAATTAGAGATGCACCGATCCGATGTTCATATTTATTTTAAGCATTCACTACTTGTGTATACATTCTTGGATGATACTCATATTGAACTGTAAAATGTCTCAAAATCCTTAAAACTAGATGTACATATGAGGTGGAACAGTGCATGATGTACGTTTCTAGTAGCCTAATTAAAGATTTTTTGGCATACATTTTTTCATCTGTACTTACTAGTTTATACATATAAATAATATATAAAAGTACAAAATGTATACATATTATATTGAATTAAAGTAAAAAGCGCTCTTGTATCGGAATCTGTATTGGCAGATGTGCATCATAATCGGATCGGAACTCAAAAAATGTGGATCAGCCCATCCCTAATTACAATGCATTCCCTCCCTGTTGGGTACGTATAGAGGAAGCCTTACCTCCCAGAAGCTTTCAGAGCTAGCAGGGTGGCTCACGTCGCCGTTGGAGGACATGGCGTGGCTAGTGTCACGGCCTGGAGTGCTGGAGGCTGCCCGTCGGGCCAGCAGAGAGCAGGAAGCAGCTGAAGGTGAGCCACAGCAGAGGATGGTCAAAGAACGCCATGCAGAGGCCTCACACAACATAGATCACCTCGCATAAGTCAGCAGTTTTTACATAGCTCAGTTGTGGAAATAATGATACCAGTAACTATGCAATAACTATGCCCTGTCTTTGACAGACAAAAAGAGCTTCCGTCCATAGTATTAAAAATAATATGGATGGATGATGGATGGTAGGGGTCAGCAATATAAACGATATAATCAACGTATCGTCATGTAACTTTTAAATAAGAAAATGAGAAACTTTGATAAAAGAAAAGCAACTTGATTGGGGGCAACATGTGGCTTAGTGGGCTAAGCCTCTGTGCCTATGATTAGAAGGGAGGTGGTTCAAGCCTTGAGCAAGGCCCTTAACCCCCCAGGTCCCTGAGTGCTGGAACAGGTGGCAGCCCATCGCGGCCAGCTTGCTCTCACCTATAGAATGCAAACTGGGGGAGGCGTAAAGAGTATTTCCCCGTGGGGATCAATAAAATATCTATGATGATGATTATTTTTTATTAAAAGGAAAAAAATGAACATAAATCCAACCATATAATAGTCTTTTAAGAATGGACAACCTATGCCCAGCAAAGGCAAAGCAAGGTTGGTAGAGCCAGCGGAACACGTCACATGCTACTGTTTTGGTAATGTCATAGAAGAGACAGTACTTGCTCAGAGGATGCTTCAAGTGTCACTGAAGAACACAACAGCTCAGCAGTAAAAAGATCTTTTAGAAAAAGACATATTGTGCATAAACAAGGTAAAATGATGGTGCTGGGTGGTCCTGTTTGCAGTTTAAAGTCCAAAATACAACACTGGGGTTGAGTACTGTAAACTGAAAACTTGTACAAACTAGAACTGTAAATACAGCAAACTTATTTCGCCACTTGACGCATTGCCATCCAGTGTAACATACAGAATGCAAGTGCTTACAGTGACAGGAACCAGCAATTTGGGTTTCCACTTTCAATCTAAAGAAAACAGACAAATTGGGTTCCGTGTTGCTTAAAAAAATGGGACACAATTTTATTTTTCATTACACAATGGGTGATATCGCAACTAGCAATTGCAAACTGTATTATTGGCATCTTCTAGTATTACAGCTTATGATAAATATTTTGGTATGACTTATTAAAATTAAGTTGGTAGTCCATTCAATTTGTTCTTTTCTAAAGAAACAATGACTGGGCAGAACTGAATTTCTCATTTAAAAACGTAAAAACAATAACAGTTATGGCTACATTTGGCAGATATTAACCTCCATAGATCTCAATTCACTACAGACACACAGTGCACAACATTCTACATGTAAACATTCAAATCACTTTTCACAAATATTTCACACTGCTACAGACTCTGTATCTCATCCTCCTGGCAGAAAGGCCAGTGAACTTCAGCTCCATACCAGGTGCCTGTTTTGACAAACGACTCACTCTTTAAACCAGCAGTTTCTTCTTGACTGAACAAATGGCAGATATTAATTAATGCATTTAATGTAATTGAGAAATAATTCCAATTTCTGTCTTTTCCCCATACTTACATGTAACTTCCAAGTTAGCACCAAAGCAAAGTTAAACGAAAAGTACTTACTCCAAAATAGGGGCTAAAAACATTTTAGGAACTATCTCCAAGGAACTACAATTGGGTCGAGTTACTGCGGAAAAGTTTCTGGTTCCTGAAAAAGGTTCCAGGGGTGGGAAAGCGTCTTAAGTTTCATCTTGACCAGTGAATGCTGAACATAGTTGTTTTTTCCTTTCCTGAGTTCAGCCTGACCCTTGACTTTTGTTCTCACGGTCATTAGACTTCCTGTTACAGATGCGGCAGTCTTTGCAGATGTCCAGGGTTACAGTATGAGGGAAATCCCACCAAAGCAACCCTTTATAAACATGGAAATCTGGACGTGTAAGCAAAGTTTAATTTCTTACATAAGTATCATAAAGATAGACATAGTACCTCCATTTCCCAGATGAGACCACAGTGAGCTCAATTCACCACCGCCAGAGCAAAGATTATTAAAGGGGCAAACCACGCTAAAAAGCTTTACATGCAAGCCTTAGTTTATTTGGTAACGCTTTATATTAAGTGCAGCTTCATAATGCATTCATAAGCAGCATGCAAGTACACTTTAACATCCTAACATCCCTTAACAGCTTTAATATACATTAATAACAAACATTACATGATTATACAATTATAATGTTTGTTATTAATGTATATTACAGCTGTTAAGGGATGTTAAGATGTAAAGGTATACATGCATGATGTTTATAAATGATTTCTGAATACTTAATGAATACATTTTGAAAGTGTACTGAATGTTTTATGAATGCAATATAAAAGCATTATGAAGGTGCAGTTAATGTAAAGTGTTACTGTTTATTTTTTTTAATTTTATTTTTAATTGTATTTTATTCAATTTCAGTTGCACTGTTAAGAGGAGGACACGTTTTGCACAGTTTAGAAAGAAAGAAATATTCTTGAATAAATTTGTCTGCAGCTCATTCTATTAAAAAAGCGTGAGTAAATCGTATCGTGAAATGTATCGAATCGTGAGTTGAGTGTATCGTTACATCCCTAATTGGCTGGCATGCTTTTTTACACTGTCTGAGAAGAAGGCATCACTTCAGATGATTCCAAATGCCTGAACAAACTCATCAGGAAGGTCAGCTCCACCTAGGCCTGGGCAATAAAACAAATGCACCAATACAACAAATGCATGACACAAGTTCAACATTATTTACGACCCGACATGTTGCCAGTGACACGTTTTGCGTCACAATGAAATGGCATCACTTTCTCTGTGACAGCTTATCAGGACAGGCTGTGGGGCACAAGCACATACACAGCTGTAAAAATCCAAAAGGGGGATTTATTAAACAAATATGAGAATGCAACAGGGCAGGCAGGTAGACAAAAGACAACACAGTCACAAGAACTGGGTACATCTCTGGGAGAGAGGGTACATCCAAAGCTACCCATCCAATAATGATAATCCAGCAAAATCCAAAACAAAGGTCCGAAGAATGATTCAGTAAACGAGAAATCCACAGAAATAATCCAGAGAATTTAGAAATGCCAGGAAAAATGTTAGTGGTGGCATTTTGTGGGCACTGACTAAAATACCATATACTGTACAACTTCTACTTTAGATCTGCAAAATGTAAAATACTGCTTGGAAAGTGTTTGTACCATTCTCATAAAAATTGTTTAAAATCACAATTAACGATCTGCCGAACCGTAGCCATTGAGTCAACACTGGGGGGGACCAAGGCCATAATTATATTATGAATTGGGAATTTATGAGCACATCTGAATATTAAGCGGGGATGTGGCCCCCCAGTAATTATTACAATTATGGCCTTGACCATCTTGTTTCTTCACCTTTCACCATCATCGGCAAAGAAAACCAAAGTCCATGCAAGCATTGAACTGAGTAGGAGCAAGAACACACCCCTGGTGAACCCCAGAATCAACTGGGAAGAACGCAGAGGTTCTCCTTCCACTCTGCACAGCAGTCACAGTACCAGTGTACAGGCCGGCTATGACATCCAGCAACTTTGGGAGGATCCGGCGAACTCTTAGGGTGTCCCACAGGGCAGCTCAATCAACTGAGTCATGCGGTTTGCAAAAATCGACAAAGGCTGCAAGGAACCTCCGCTGCGAAGAACCCTCAGTGCCAGGGTGCGGTCCATGGTAGACTTTTTAGGTATAAAACCAGACTGCTCTGGCCACTGATAGGCGAGCAAACTGGTGTCACGGATCCTGTTAAGGATGACCCTAGCAAGGACTTTACCCGGCACTGAGAGCAGTGTTACCCCCCTGTAGTTACTGCAATCCGATCACATTTTTCTTTCCAGACAGAGACTACAAGTTACATTTTCCAGTCAGTATGGGATGACACCTGACTCCCAAATGGAAGTAAAGAATGCCTGCAATGCCTCAGTTCCTGATAGAGACTGGAGCCAAGTCATGGACTGCGACTCATCTCAATAATATCCAGGGTGCCCTGCGAGATGAAACACCTCCTTTTGTGAACACCAGCAACACAAACACAGCTCTCAGCAACCTTCAGGGCCTTATTTCGTAAGGTCTCCCACATCACAAGTCCAGCCTCATTCTTTTAGCAGGTGGTAGCCTACTGGATCTAAACTGAATCTTCAGAGTAGCAATAACAAGTCTGTGGTCAGAATTCACAAACTGGGCACTTCTGTAGACCCTGCAGTTCTGCAGGAGCCTCAAACATCTGCCCACGAGGATGTGATCGATCTCCTTCGCTGCACCAGTATTGGAGTACCAGGTCGAACGATGTGGCTCAGAGCGTTGGAACCAGGATCCAGCCACCCGCAGCCCCTGACCTTTCGCAAAGTCAAGGAACATGGAGCCACTGTCACCTCGGTCTCCAGACCCACGGGGACTGACACAACCCTCATGGACAGCCCTGTCAGTGCCTGTCGTCGCATTAAAGTCACCAGTGACCAGAGGAGTGTCATCTTGTGGGCAACTCATCAACCACCAAGCGAAGTTGCGAGTAAAATGTCTCTCTCAGCAAGGCATCACTCACCGCGGTCGGAGCATATACTGAGACAACAGACAAGACACCCAAGGAGTGCCTTAGGCCGAGTCTCATAATATGATCGTTGAAAGGAGTGACACCATTGGAAGGAGCCGATCCATCATAGCAACAGCTACTCCCTGAGTATGGCAGCCATCAGAGGGATCAGATCAAAACTAGGTGTACCCACCTACAGAGATCTGGCCACTCCCTGGTCACCAAAATGTGGAGTTTATAAAACCCCCTACAGCAGAGGAACATGGTCATCTTGCCGGAGAGACAAGGTGTTCCACGTGCCTACCCAGATGGGCTGGCTCAAATTGGGACCCAAGTGCCGCCATGCAGCAGGCGATGCCTCAGCCCCACACCAGCCCTGATCCCCAACAGTTCTGACCCTATTAACTCTGACAGTTCAGACTATTCCGGGGATGAGGCTCTAGGAGCCTTACTGTGGTCAGCTGCAGCAGAGCTACTCCCGGAGAACAGTAGGGTGTCGTGTCTTTAGATTGAGCTGCTGTGAAGTGTGGAGCCTATCCCACCACCAACCCCACAAAACATTTTTCCCTGCAAGGTGAAGGACCACTTGCATGGCCAGATGCAGTTTAATGTCATACCCAGGACATGGTGCACCAGAGCAGCACCAAAAAAAAGCAGCACCAGAGCTAGAGCTAAAATAATGGTGACGCTTGCATTGGACAGCCATTATCAATAGTGGAAGACAATGGACTAATTGGCTCATCCACCACTTACAAGTGGTACCGAACTGCAACATTTTTCTAATTCATTATAAAACCTGCCCTGCAGATCGATCTGTCATTTTCCACAGAATAAGAAATTATGTAACATCATTCTATGAACCTGCACTAAAAAGATCGACAACTTTCTCCATTGGCATAGCTAAATACTGCATTTCCTCAATTAAAAACTGGGATTCAATTAAAAGCCAGGTGTCAGATAACCGGGAGCATGGTTGACATGAACAAATAAAGATCAGGCCCCAAAAATAAGCCGGGGGAAAAAGGAAGGATGGATAAACTCCCGGAAACTCATTTATAATGGATTTCTACAAATTAAATAGATAAGAAACAATCTTATTCATATTTATATGATCATAAATTCCAAAATCTTCAAACAACAGAATTAAAACATTCTCATAAGTCTGCACATTTACAAGTGGTCCACAGCAGTCGTGCAAACATTTTGGAAGAAACAGAAAAAACAACATCAACAGTTTAGGTAGAAATGTGTGGCAAAGTTTTAGTGTATGATGTGCGTTAAATATAGAAACATTTCTATAATATCTGATAGACAACAAACATTCAGCATTTGATCTATTGTATTAAATGAATGACTTCATATGTTTCAAGGCCCTGTGCCAAACTGGGGTATCAGCATAGGAATTCAGTACTCAGAACACAGAAAGTTTAAATTGACAAGCAAAATATAACCCAAACAAACAGACAAATATACAAACAGATAAATAGATAAAAAAAAATGAAAGACAGAAAGAAAGACAGAGAGACAATTCACCAACAGCCTGCATTACGAAACGATTTCTTGCTTAGCCGGATAACTTGTTGGATGTAAAGTAGTCTTGTCCTACGTGAATGAAGATAAAGTCCATTAAAACTCCATTAAACACTTGTGACTTTGTGTACGAGTTACCTTTTGCGCAACACTTCCCATCCTAACACTCAAACAAATGACAGGCTACCTACATGAGCCATGGAAAAAAGGAAAAAAAAACCACATTCCAATGTTGCCTCATACTTATACGCCAAAGCGTTTCCACTTGTTTATGCTAAGTACCTCCCTACAGCTATTCACAGCATAGCTTTTTTCGGTTGTGGTTGGTCTGGTTGTGTGACCTGGAGCTGTCCCTCTAGAAGTAAGGTAATACCGTGGAGCAATGTCATCAAATCGTATACATTCCTCTGTATTATTACAAGAAAATTGGATTACAGTGTTATTGATTTAAAAAGTTTAATTAGGCTTGCTGTTAACTTGAATGACAGATTTGAATGTGTTATTGTCAAGCTCTGCCCAGATGTAATCAGTCAACCAGTGTCAAGCTCATTTCAAGGCAGCTTCTGAAGAACCCACTTCCCCGCACACTGTTGCTTAAAGCACCCAATTAAAGCTGTACTTTTTATTCAAGTCAGCGTAATCATGCAGGTTGCTGAAATAGGAAAATAAGAAAGAAAACTTAGAGGAGAGGCGTGTTTTTATTGTGTGCAATACACATCCTAGGGGAAATATTCAAGCATATTCAGATGAACAACTCCCACTTTATAAAACCAGTTATTCCTAGTGCTACAGGCCCCAACTTGCAACTTGCATAATCAATAAGATACTGAATGGAAAGCTGCAGCCTGCATGAACACCACAAGACTGTTAAACAGAGCTGTGTGAGGGAGCAAGATATTTTTAAAACTGCAATTTTGTTGGCAGATTCCGAAAAATCCCATCTAAGTGCAATCTATGAGAATGTCTGATTCCCAAGTGAGTCGTTGGGCATGCATCTCCGCATTCAATGTGTGGCGGTTCCATCACGCCGCCACCCCAGGAAATAAAGGCCTACTGTTCATCCATTCCACTGTTCAATACAGTTGCCTAATGAAAGCTGAGTGTCCTCTCCAATCCCAGGGCAAGCCTGAGAACAAAGGGAAGCTTTGTTCCACACCCTTATTCTTTCCATCTTTGCACCAAAGAGGAATGGAAAAAAAAAAAACAGCCACATAACACAAGTACATTTTCAAGCCTCCATTTTCAAGCACACATGAATTTAGAAAGTAAATAAAATTCCAAAAATTCAACCCTCACATGCAAATTTCATTATTGCATGTGAGGGTTGGAACAACTGGATTAAAGTTTCGCCAATAAACATCAAACACTAAACAGAAATCTCAAGTTCAGACTGGAATTCTATGGGGATATTACTACATGAAACATGCAGAGACAAACCATAAATATTTAGAGAACTTACAATAAACAGCATAATCATATCTTACTGTCAGCGACCCGCTTGTATATTTATAACCTCTTCTACACAAGTGAACAAACATTATTTTCTGCTGATAGCTAGTACAACCCAACCCTAATAAGAATAAAAAAACCAAGAGAACAGGAATATAACTCTACCAGCTGACCCTATCTTAGGAAACCTTCAAAGAACAGCAGAGGCATGATGCATAACAGTCTGAGTGAAATTGAGGCTCAAACAGCTCGTTTAAACAGCCAAAAATGCGAAAACCTGGTTTTGGTGCCCTCAAATACATAATGAACCAGTTTGCAAAGTTCTTTCCCGTACAGCCACTGTGGTGCATTAGGACAACACAAAGCAGGAACTCTTCAAAACACAGGTTTCTGCCAGCTGTGGCGCAAAATTATATATGTATAGGCCTATATGAACACGAATACACACACACACACCGTTATATAAGCACCTACTATATCATTCACGCTGTGGACAAAGGCAGAAGCCACTGCGCTGGAGCTTACATTACCATCATACGTAAAAAGGGTAGCCAATATAATAATCAAAGAATCCTAAGTTTAAAAAGTACTTAACATAAAAGAAACACAGCATCATGTGCTCATTTACTGTAAATGAGTTCAGCATAAAGGAAATTTTCTATTGTATTTTGTAAGCCTATGGATATATAGCACAGTTAAATCCTGGAAGGCAACAATAAAAGCTCGTTTAAATGCGCGCCTTGGTCCTAAGTATCTGACGAAATCAAAACGGAAGAAAAGACGGCAGCCCCGATCAGCGAAGTGTTCAACTAAATGTTTGTGATAACTAATAGGAAACACTTCGCTTTTGTCGCACTGACAATATTATATAAATCACTGCGACGAAGCTTTATTTAATTTTGTAATAAAACCACAGATAAAATGCACCACCGACACATTTTTTGGTAACTCTGTTAGTCAGTGTAAGTTAACCTCTTGGTTTTTATTTCAATGGGCACTCCCACGTACGCGATTTTGTTATACGCATTAATATTGTATCGTACTTTGCAAAGCGGGACGGGAGAGTTCAGGCATGGTTCTCAAACCATACAGACAATATGACGAGATTTGCCGCTGTCTTCCAGATTACTAATTGTCCTGTCGCCTCTACTACAATTACATACACCCTCGATTGATATGTTTGTACTTACCCGGGGAAGATCCGCGTTTTTAAAACAACAAACTAATCCAAGAAGACTTTTTCAAACGCAGAAAAGTTATATCCACGTAAATTAATACAGTGCTCTTGTTACCGCAGCCAGCGCAGACATCCAAGTTAATACAGGGTTATTACGGGAAAGGAGACACCTCCCTGCTTTTGCAAGTAGGCGAACCGATTTCCCATTTCTTAAGAAGTCGGAAGGCAGGACCATGGGCGATCGCGAAGAGCCGCTAAATCCCTAACTTGCAAACACACGTACTTCAGGCAACTCTGTCAACCGGGAAAAGGAGCAAACTCAGAAGGACCTTAACTGCATCCAGTACTCTCAGAATCCCTATGTTTACAAAAAATTGCCCGCTCAGTCATTGAATAGTACAGCTTTCACAAAATAAACAGAACATAATATAAACAAGATATCACTAAATAAGTAGGCCTATAAACCTGTAATTGTCCATCTTTCATATTAAACTGCATTCTGGTTCTTACTTGCAGATGAATAATAACAATGACTAGAAAGGGAAGTTCATCAACAAACTTCATGTTAGCTTGAAAAGGCCAGCTATATAATTGTTAAAAATTTCCCATTAAAGTCAATGAGTGAATTCTGATTAGCTGCTGGTGGCTCCACCCACTGTTTCAATCCATGAACCGCAGTCACCCAATGACTAACTGTGCAAAGTTTGGGGACCCTACCATCAAATGTGTGACAATGACAGCAGTTTAATTAAAATTTTCTATTAAAGTCAATGGGTGAATTCTGATTGGCTTTTGGAGACTCCGCCCACTTGTAAAAATCATTGTACCACAGTCACTCCTTGACCAACTATGCAATGTTTGGGAATCCTGCCATCAAAAGTGTAAGAATGGTGGCAGTTTAAAGTTGTCTAGAATGACAGATGAGATCTTTGACCAGTAAATAATGACATCATTGATAGATTTTCTATATACCTGTTTTCTGATTGGATGAAATTTGATTGGGTACCGGAGAGATCCCTGGATCATGGACATACTCTAAATTTCGGTAGTTGCTTTAGTGTGACTCCATGCCTGTTTCACTGAAGTTTGGTGGGTTTAGCATAAAAGTTGTTAGAGGGGTAACAGTTTAAAAATCCTCCCAGTATAAGTCAATGGGAAGAACAGGGTCTTGGTGGGACCTCCCAAAATGATGGACAGTCCAAGAGCTTATAAAAGCACAACCCCAACAAAGGGCTTAATGTGTGGAAAGTTTGATGGTTGTACTCCAATTGTAGGAGTAGAATAATAATGACAATAATAATAAGTTGAAAACAGTATGTTGGCTTTTTCAAGCCAACATAATAATGATAGTAGGAGTAATAATAATAATAATAATGACACTTTATTGATCCCGTGGGGAAATAATAATAATGACACTTAATTTTCGCCTATGCCTCTTGCTCTCCAGGACACAGAGACGCATATGTAGGTGAGACCAAGCTTGGCAGCGAAGGGCAGACACCTGCAGCGGCGCCCATGGAGCTAGGGGTTAAGGGCCTTGCTCAATTAATAGCTCACGGACCAGCGATCTTCCAAAAGTACAGCAAAGGAAATTAGGAAGTGTAACCTTGATTAACTGGTTTAGAGAAGGGGGTTATACTGCAGTTTTATTATGAATAGTTTGTTATGTTGTTGTTTTGGGAGATCTGCCTAGGCGGCAGAATGATTGATAGATTGATGATGACTGAGGGGCCTGTAATCTGGGGGTTAGTGCCATCGAAGGAGGCAACATGTAAATGCGGTTGTTCCGGCTCAGTGTTTCTTCATAAGGTTGTTGTACAGAAGCCAGATTCACAAATATTATTGTAGCGTTTCACTACTAAATAAGATCAACGTTTTCTTTAAACACCTTAAGAATGACATAGTCACACTTTACAAATCCGTACGCTGTTAATTTAAACCGAACAAGTCACCGAAAAAGCAACAGCCCCCCAAACAGCCACTTAAACATACAGCCTTCATTGATGAAGTTTGAATCATCACAAGATAAAAAAGATAAAATTGGATTATCATTGTATTTTTTCGTCAATGAAACTGTGAGGATACATCTGGCACCTGTGAAGGGTTCACATCGCATGTTTTTATTATTAATTTTAATTATTTTCTTCAGTAAGACACATTAACACATTGCCCTGAGGTTACACTGAAATTAAATGAAAAGTTAATTATTGCTTTTCTTACTACCTGCTTTATATACAGATTACTGACTCTCCCACAACGTCCAGTACGGTCTTTATTATTTTAAAGGGTTTTTGTTGGAATCATTTCGGAGAATTGTTGAATGCACTCGGCATTCGATTAACTGCGATCTAGGCGCGACTAGTACTGGCTGCCCATCTGAATGTATTATGTGGTGTCTACAAGCTGTAACCTTAATGTTTTTAGTAAAAAAAATACATACCGTAACTAAGGTTTATAACTAAGTAATAAACCTTAACGCGAGTTAGCTATTATTAGCCAGTAGTATCCGTATCCGGCATGTTTTGTCGACGCTCCTAGGTAGCTAGCTAGCTACGTCTACGAAAAACTGCAACAAAAAATACAGAAAAAAGGTAGGCCGAGGCCTTCGGATGCTTTCGTGTATTTTAGCTTTATGATAACATTTCTTTTTCAAAAATGCAGTTGTCGGTTGGTTTTTCGGTGTATTATGGAGGCACTCTGTCTATTTAGCGGCAATTACCGAATAGATAATTCTGTGACTTTGTGTTTGGTGTTTCTATTGGTGTGGCTTTACATTATTTGGTTGAGGGGATAAATAATAGCTAACGACGGCGAGCTGACTTTTTTGTGATGATTTAAGCAGCTTGGGTGTCCTGTAAGTTTTATTTTATGCTGAAGAGTATAATGTCTATGTGTATGAGTGTCTACCGTCGGTAATTCCTCATGTATCAGCTGCTGTAGGTATGGAATTAGGCCATCAGTGTTAAGCTTGTAGTTGGTATGTTAACCAGCTAATCGGTTAAAAATCAGTACTCTTTTTAAAGGAGAGGGTAGCCCACGACATTACACACACACACGTTCTCCCATTTAATGTACTCTATTTATCGCTATTTATGCCAAATGATATCTTCTATTACACGGACTATGAGGCGAGAATCATAATGGCATGGTTTTTGTCCTGATTTCAGTTCCGTTGAAATGTTACTTTTGTGTATTATTTACCTGGATGATAGTGTTGGTTATTTGTGCTGGAGTGTCTGTTATTTTTATTGATTTCTTAGTTACAATAATGATATCCATATATTGGAATGGTACCCTTTAAAAATACGCATCGATTTGATATCGTAATGATTTTGCCTCGTTCCGGTTTAGTCTACAGTTCCCGATGGCGTTACACGGATTTCCCATGACAACCTATATATTTAAATTTCACGAGTGTTATGTTGATGATTAGTTTTTGACATGTCTGAAAAATATTCAGATCACGTAGGTGCACATATGAGCTGAGTTCTTTCGACAGAATAATAATTTTAAAAAATTACGTTTATGATTATTATAGACACAATCCATTTTACAGTATTCTATTAATTAAACTGTATATGGTTCTTATAAGGATTATGCCAGTACTTTTATACTTTTGGTTGGTTCATTTCTTAGGTAGTATATCTCATGGGTGCTTTAAACAGCTGTGAAATTCTCATTTTGCTTGGGTCTTTTAAGGGTTTTGGTGTGATTCTGACATGTGCATAGAGCATAGGGAGAACTCCTGTTATTTCTGCTTCCCTTTAGTGTTTTCTATCTCGATTTCTCACTTGCCTCCTTTGAAATGATTAGCATGGCTCCCCACCCGATTTCCTGGCCTAGGTTCTGCATGGCCTATGTGTAGCCTTGTGGTCAGCGTCCCTGGCTTGTGGAAGGCGGTCACCCAGAGATGAAGGGTACCCACCAGAAGAACTCTGTGCGGATCCTGTCTGGCCGGGAGCGAGGCGCTCAGAACTGTGGCTCTCAGCGTCTCCTCCAGCAGCTGGTGGAGGAGAAAGCCCGCTGGATGAAATGGCAAAGCCAGGTGAGAAAGCCTGGCTCTTATTGCGAGTTTATTCTGCTGCCAGGTCTCACACACTCTTTTAGCAACCAGTAAGATCTCGCCAGACTTTTATCATACAATATAATAGTGCTCATATAAAAAACTCTTGGAATATGATTAAATCCAGTCTCTGATTAGAAGAAATATAAAATAGGAATGCAAGTTTCAATGTCCGAATGTAAAATAGGAATGTATCTGTATAGCATGGCTTTTGTGTTGTCTGGGGGGGAAAAAATGAAGAAACATGAAGAGTTCTGTTTCTAAGGTAATAAATATATAGCAATGATAATAACGGTACTATTATCTAGAATGGCGAATCATCTAGCGTCATTTTTGGCGCACACATTAATAGGTGTGACAATCTGATTAAGCGTGCCTCTGGTATGATGCTTTCAAAGTTCTAAGTTCCATAATGGGTATTAAGGTGCCTTTTGATTGTGTATATCCTGCTGTTGTTAAAACCACATTTTGTAATTTTGATATTTGGGATTTTATTCTTGAAGTCAGTTAGATTATATTTTGTGTGTTCACTACTCATTGCCTAACAAGCAAACATTTGATGGTTTCAGCCATCTTTTGACGTATTGAATTGATTATAGGCTTTTGTGAACTGCATGTGTTAGGCCTGGTTAGAGTTTGAGCTTGACTGTTGGCAAGTCATCACTGCTTTGCAAATGTCTCCGCAGAAGGTAGAGCTACCAGACAATCCACGGTCGACATTCTTGCTGGCTTTCAGCCCAGATAGGTAAGAATGCCATTTGACGTAGTTTGTTCTTGTTGTTATAAATTTGGAAATAAATGACGTAGTTGTCATAAATTTGGAAATATGCTTCATGGAAATATCAGCGAGTAATACTAAAAATAATAGTTTTTATTTCCTCATTTGTAGGACACTAATGGCATCTACTCATGTCAACCATAACATCTACATCACGGAGGTGAAGACAGGAAAGTGCATTCACTCTTTGGTGGGCCATCGGCGCACCCCTTGGTGTGTGACATTTCACCCCACCATCTTGGGTTTGGTGGCTTCTGGGTGCCTCGATGGGGAGGTCCGCATCTGGGACCTGCACGTGAGTGGATTTGTGGCGTTTTGTTTTGGTCTGTGTAGTTTATTGTGATTCTGCGTGACTGCTGACGCCAGTCATCTTCTCTTGTATTTCCGTGCATATGGTGATGCAACTTAAAAAAAAAAAGCTGTGGTA